TTTTGGACAGATCTTATGTGGCGAGCACAATCGTCGCGCTCTTTGTAGCAAGGGTGGCTAAAGTCCTCGCCGGGCGGCTCGAAGGGCATCTTCGTGTGCAGCACACGCGCCCGAGCCTGCCTCTGTGGTAGGGGGCGGGGGAGTTGGCTCTCGGCGGTGACGGCGCAGGGTGGCATTGTGCTGCAGGCTGAGTTGCCACGCAATTGCGAAGTATTCAGTGTTGTCACGCACGATTGCCACGTGCACCTTCGGAGGGCCTTCCTCAAACGTGTTGATGCTCCCTTGCACGCGTGCGAGCACGTCGCGCACGTCGAGGATGTCGTCCTCCACACAGGCATCAGGTTGGGCGTCGCTCGCCATCCAGGGGTGAGACGAAGACACGCTCTCGTCCACAACAGCTGTCTGCAGGTTAAGCATGTCCTCTTCTGACAGGCCCTGCGAGACGGAGTCGAGGTAGAGCATGCGGCCCACCTGATCCAGAAGCGTCGGGTGGAGCAGTCGCGCCTTGACATCTGCCAGGCTGAGGGCGAACGGCTCAGCAGCAGAAGCCAGTAGGCGGGCCGCAGCAGCGGCAGTGAGTGCACTCCCGTTGGCGCTCGCGGTCGGCTGCATGTCCAAGTGCGCCGCGAAGAGGGTGCGCATCTCGTTGCCTCCCAGCGCGCTCGCAACCTCTTTTGCAGCCGGGCAGCCGTGCAGGTCGATGAGAACCGAGCGCCCTGTGTAGCCATCGAGGCCGGTTTGTAGCACCTGGCCCGTGGGCAGCACACCGGTGCGGATCGAATGCACGCACTCCGCGTATGTCAGTGGGTTGGTCACTGACGGCGCCGGCCCGTCGTTGTGTGCCGTGAGAGCCTGCTCAATCGCCATGTCGTCCTCGGGGCCATATTCCGGACCGTAGAGCAGCTTATTCATCCAATCCATGCGCGCCGCCTTGGAACGATCGCGGCGGATGCGGAACCAGATGTTCTGGCAGACAGGCGACGGCTTCTGCGTGGTTCCTGACACGAACATGGAGTGCGGCTTCCAGAACCCTTGGGAGGTGGCGAGGGAGGCGAGCTTGGCGACGGAGAGGTTCAGAGGTGTGAAGCCTTGATCGTGGTCGAAGTACTCCATCTCGGGCAGCAGGTTCGCGCGCGTCAGCAGGGGCACCTTCCGCTTCTCGCCTGGTCCGGCGTGCGCCTTTTCGCTAGCTTCCCCACCCTCGTTTTCGTGCGCCGTCGAGCGGTAGTGCTTGAAGGCGGCTTTGAGGTAGTCCGGCGTGAGCATCTGGCCGACCCGCGTGTGGAAGAACTCGTCGAGGTTCGTGTATCTGAGGTGCTGCTTCCAGGCGTACCCAAAGAGGTACAACGGGTCGGTGTGCTCGTGCGCCCTGCGGATCTGCCACTTGATTTTCGCATCGCTCGAGAAGCGCGGCTGGTTGAGGAAAGTGCTCATTTTGCGCTTAAACTCGTTGATTATTGCTTCGGCC